GTACAGTCAAAAAAGTCTCAAAAAGTCTCCATGATTCCAAGTGCTAAACAGAGCTTGAAAACCAGTGAAATTTGCTACAGTGAGTTCATGAGTTCATGAGAACCGCGTATCTTGCTTAGGCGTAAGTTTGATATCGCTACCAGCGAGCTATGCTACAGTTTCTTCCATACAAATAAGGCGAATATAAAACACACTGAAATACGAGTGTCAAAGTACACAACATTAGTATATTTTTGAGTTTTTTTTTGAACGATTTTCAATATAAAACATGGTCTAAAAGAACAAACTCGTSTCAATGTATAAAAGGCGCGCATTTGGTTTCTATACACGCAGCATTGAAACTGGAAACACTACACTCCATAAATACAATAAAAMAGAAAACAATAAACAAAGTAAGAACTGTTTATTTATAAACGAATTTCTTGCAATGAGAAAAAAACAACTTTGTTTTAGCAACAAAGCCGGACTTCATGATCAGTTCTAAGCTCATTTCAAGTAATTCAAACAATTAAAACAAGTTTTTACTAACCTCTAAATCTGACGAAATAAAAACACGGACTATAAAGTAGGACTTCTTATTTTATCAAATTAAAACAGCTTTTTGATACCTTTTGACCGTCCACAGCGACAGGAACCAAAGCAAATCTCCTCTCCGACAATTTCCTTATCGATTTATCTAAAAACGGATGTCCACTTGTCGACAAATAAGGTCTAAACAAATCCTTTTATCGATACTTGAAAATTGTCCTTGCTTATACAACTGACTGTAATTAAATTGTACATATTTATTTATACTCGTGAAATATACTTGTTGTTGTTGTTGCTTGTTAGTTTCCCGCCATTGATCTTCACTCGGCCTAGACCAAAAACAAGTGATGACGTCACATAAAAAAGAATAATATAGTCTGAAACGCAATGCATTATGGGGTAGTTCTGTTCCCTCCTCTGTTCCACAACTCCATTCGTAGAGGTAGACTTCTAGTAATGGGCTCCTGGAGGTAGGCCGCCTCGTAGACCCCCAATACAAGGAGAAGACATCACAATAGGTTCCTTGGCCACTTGGAATCACTGCCTCATGTATATATAATAGACCCCTTTCAGTTTCAGGGAATGCAGCTCCCACTAGAGGACAAAACAATAAATTCCAGCCGAGAGGAAAGAGGGCGAAAATTTTTTGTTCTCTGCAGTGATATATAGTACATACACTACTACCACGGGCTTTAAGAGACTCCTTGTTTTGAGWCGTGAGAAATTCATGTCCATGGACAAAATAACACGCTACTTACTTTCTTGAGTCTTTAATTGCTAGTCTTATAAGCTTGAGTCTCCAAAGCCCGTGCTAMTACGCTTAATGGCCATGAACGGAATATCGTACTTTTTTAAGTATCATATACCAATACGTTCACTACGCCACTACCCCACTACCTCACTACACTACTATCCTACTACGCCACTAAGTTACTACGCCACTATGCTACTACGGCACTATGCTACTACGCTACTACGCCACTATGCTACTACGCCACTACGCCACTACGTCACTACGCCACTATGCTACTACGCCACTACGCCACTACGCTACTACTCTACTACGCCACTACGCAAATACCCTACTACTCTACTACGCCACTACGCTACTACGCTACTACGCTACTACGCTACTACGCTACTACGCTACTACGCTACTACGCTACTACGCTACTACGCTACTACGCTACTACGCTACTACGCTACTACGCT